AAAGGTGAACTTTTAGGTCCCTTTGAGACTTAAAGACTAGATCTTGTTTGTTGAGACCATTCTAATGGATAAGTTATAAACTTTATCCAATATTAAGCTATTATGAACTATTAAAATGTGATATTGTGTAACATCTATAAAAATCATGCAAATTTTAAACTTTTTAAATCATCCAAAACCAATAACTATTACAAATTTGTTTTCAAAACAATTCCATATCAGAGTATCCAAGAAACAAAGTCATAAAATGCGAGGAAGTGCACGATCACGCCTTCGCCTTCCCTCGATCATCCGAAATACCTGAAACAAAATCCAAAATTGTAAGCCCGGAGCTTAGTGAGTTCCCCAAAATACCGCTACATAGTAAATAGCACATATACACATAACAACATGTAGTGGGTCCACAACTCTACATACTGGGTTACCTTCGAGCCCACAGTGTGAGTTTGGCTTGTCTTTTGGGCCCACAACTCACATCTGGCTTGCCCCCGAGCCCACATCATTAGTCTGGATTGCTCTCGAGCCTACAGCTTATGACTGACTTGCTCCCTTAGTCCTTGGACTGGAATACAAAATATTAGCCCACAGTATGAGTCAGGCATGCCCTGCCCAACCCTCAGCTCGTATCTGGAATGCTGAGGAGTCCTCAGTATGAGTCTGGAATGCCATGTCCGACCCTCAACTCATATATGGAATACTCCAAGGTTTGTTGGCTACCGTACGGAGTAGTATAACCTCAACCCATCCCACACAACATGTCGACATATAACAACTAAATGCATATACAGATAACCAAACAGTAACACAAGTAGTCCTACCGATCTACCAAACTGACGTAGCAACTAACATACATAAATATCTTATAATTAACATATCATCAACCACTTTGATATCGGATCCAATGGGCCGACTTTGGTACCTTCAACCCCTAAGTATAGTGAGGACAACTCACCTCGCAAGTAGCCCGGTATGATAATTGTCAAACTCCCTAAATACAACCCCAAACTCAACCACCAACATCCACCAATGATTCAATTTCATAAATCCCCAAATTACTAAAATACCCCCCCAGAAGTCAAACTGGTCAACCCTCAGTCAAATTCAAAGTCAACGGTCAAGGTTAATAGTCCATGTTGACCCAACTCGTCGAGTGTAGCCCATTGACTCACTGAGTCCTTCCAGAACTCGAGAAAATTGTGAAAATCCTGGTTAACTCGCCGATTCCATGCGGTGTCTAAACGTTGGGAAAACCCTAACTGACTCGTCGAGTCGTCTCACTGACTCGCCGACTCCATGCAGAAACCAACAATGGCCAATCTTAATCTGACTCGTCGAGTCCCTTCAATCAATTTCTCATTCAGACATTTTTAAGCAACCCCAAAGCTCCAAATTGTAGATCTAGCTTCCTAAGGCACAAATTCCACGCAAAATTACAAACTTTACATGCATGCAAGGTCTAAAATGCTGAAACCAAGCTAAGGGAGAGGTTTAAGCAAAAGAGAAGGGCCAAAGCTTGGTAAAATCAATAACTTTATGACTATAAGGATTTAGAGGAGTCCAGATCTAAAGTTACAACTTCAGATCATGCCCAATACGCGAAATGATCCACATATTTGCTCAAAATGGCCTTAAACCCAAGAATAAGGAGATCTAACACTAGCAGGATCAAGGTAACAGCTTGTTACCTTCAAATGGTAGACAAAACAATGTAGATGTTGGATCTACAAGCTCCTTCCCGTTCCAAGCTTCTCACTCTTGAAGTTTACCTTCCAAAATCAACAAATGACACCTTTCAAGCTCTCAACACACACAATGGGGGTTTAGGACTCGATCTAGGTTTTCCTCTGGTTGTAATGACGATGAGGGAGGCTAGAAACGGCCCATACGTTCTTTAAATAGGGTGTAAACCCTAAAATTTGGGGTTTCCATGCACAACCTCTACTCGTCGAGTCAGGGTCCTCCAACTCGTTGAGTAGAAGTCATAAATCACGCAGGCTAATTAGGTTCGACACGACTAGTTGGGGCCTCCAACTCGTCGAGTTCCATCAATAAATTAAATATAAAGCTTTTAAAAATATACCTAGGAGTTGGGGTGTTACATCTTAGCCCTTCTATCCCTTCCATGCAAGAGTTATGAAGTCTTATTTGGTTAAGAACTTAGGGTTTTGGACATTAAGCACTTTACAGCCATGCAAATTCATAAATTTGGAAACTTTATGACTTGGGACATCATTTTAGGCTTGGATCTGAGTTTTGGATGTAAGAACTAAATGGGATATGCTCTTAATGGTATTTTGGGACTGGGTTGAGTATGTTGGGCGTACCTGGTGGTACGCTGCGCATACGCGGTTGGTGCCAGTGCTATTGGTCAACATTAGAGTACACTAGGTGTACTCTCTTCGTACGCAGTGCATACTCCGCTGAGAAGAAATATTGACTTCTGGACCTTGACCATTGACGGTTGACTAAGTTTGACCTAAGGGTATTTTGGGTTATTGGGTTAATTATTGATTAAGATTATATTTGTTGTTAGTTGGCGCGAGGTTATCCAGTTTGACGGTCCAAACCGTTATTTGATTATCAACAGATTGAGGTGAGTCTTCCTCATTGTACTTATGGTTCGAAGGTAACAAGGCCAACCCATCATATTAGATATCCTGATATATGATAGTGTGATGTTATGCCTAATGATATGTAGATCTGGTTGTTTGCCTGTTGACTGATTATATATATATATATATATATATATATATATATATATATATCAACATATTGTGTTGGGTTGAGATTGTACTGCTTCGTGTTGTAGCCAACAAACCATGGAGCATCCTAGTTATGAACTGAGGGCTAGAGGGGGCATGTCGGACTCATACTAAAAGCTCAGGTGCATTCCAGATACGAGCTAAGGACTGGGTAGTATGCTAGACTCATATTGAGGGCTTGAGAGTATTTCAGTCTGATGACTAATTGGCTCAGAGAGCAAACCATACATAAGTTATGGGCCCCAGGGGCAAGCCAAACATAAGTTGTGGGCCACCGGGGCAAGCCAGACTTATGTTGTGGGCACAGGAGCATGCCATATATGAGTTGTGAGCCTGATAGGCAAACCAAACTCATACTATGGGGTCATGGGTAATCTAGTCTTTTAGCTGTGGACCCAGTACATGATGTTATTTAAATATGTTATTTGTTCGTGTGTTGGTACGTTGGGGGAACTCACTAAACTTCGTGCTTACAATTTTTATTTATGGTTTCAGATTCTTTAGAGGATCATGGCAAGGAAAATGCGTGACCATACACATCCTTGGTTTCACTACTGATTGGATCTTGGGTGATTCTGATTTTAAATCATGTTTTGGAAACAATGTTTTTGTAAATACTTTTATTAGTAAATAAGTTGTTTTGAAAATTTTAAATTGGTTGTGATTTTTAAGAATGTTACAAATGTGTTTAAAGTATGAGTTCAAAAAGTTAACAACAAAACAAAATAAACAAAAAACCTAACAATCGAACAACCGAACCATTTTAAAAAACCAACTGGTTGGTGTTTGGAAAAAAAAAACAAAATTGTGTGTTTGGAAAAAAAAAATAAATCTTATGTGGGTAGAAACTATAAAATAAAAAAATTAAACTTAAGGAACGATTACCTAACCAATAGATTTTCATGATATTTATTAACAAATCTAAAAAAAATATACATTAAAAGAAAGTGAATAGATAGAAAATCTCATATATATATATATATATATATATATATATATATATATATATATATATATATATATATATATATATATATATATATATATATATATATATATCTTCAGGTTCATTTGAGACAATTCTAATTTTGTAAGATCGTGAGACCAAATTTAAAAATAATTTTAAAATGCAAAATAAATTCAAAAATCCAAAAATTGTTTTTTAAATATTATTTTCGGAACTTGAATTAACTAGAAAAAATTAAAAATAAAATAAAAAAAATCTCATTTATTTTAAAAATACGTGAAATATTCTAATAGAATATTACACTGATATATTCTAAAAACTAATTTTAAAATGCAAAATAAATGGAAAAATCTAAAAATTCTTTTTTTAAATATTATTTTCGGAACTTGAATTAACTAAAAAAAATAAAAATAAATAAAAAAATAAAAAAATGCGTGTCACGGTCTAACAAAATATAGGTAGTCTCAAATGAACCTAGTAATATATATATATATATATATATATATATATATATATATATATATATATATATATATATATATATATATATATATATATATATATATATATATGAATGGTATTGGGCATAAAACATCAAAATTTTAATTGAAATGAATGCAAAAAGAGTAAAAAAAAATCATTTTTATAATTTGGATTATCTGTGAATAATAAAAAAGAACTTGAGGGTCATTTTTGTAATTTGGATTTCATATGAATAAATAATAAAGTGGCCTATGAGGTTTATTTTTGATAAACAAAAGTACTATAAGAAGAAGGGGCGCCTCGAAGGGTAATAAATGAAAACAATTAAATATATAAGTAGACATAGCAACAGGATTCGAACAATGATCGGTCTAAATTCGATTGGTTACTATCAGAATTAATTTTAGGACACCAAACCATATCGAGGCCTGCAGCCATGGCCCAACTCGCCTCCTATTGGGCCGGGCCTGTTCTCAAACATTTGAACTTATACAGCCCAAAGTTTAGGTCTACAAGCAATTAAGACTTATACTTTATGCTTCAAAGGTTGTACGCTACACTGGATTTTGCTCTCATCTGTGAAATGAAAAGATGCTTGCATGGACTTTCGTTCCAAGAATTCTCTAAACCAAAACCTGTCGCCACAAACCTCTGTCCTCCCTTTTTCAAATCATTTTGTTTTCTGTTGACCTTCAAAATTGTCGATATTAACCCCTAACATGAACTGTGTTCGCACCTACTTATACACTCATCCCCTTCAACCATCATTGCTACAACATTTTTCTCTCATGGCTCCAACAAAACTCATCTCATGGAAAACCGCTTTACTTAGTTGTTTCACAAGCAATACAGTTCTCTTAGACCCGAAGGCTCTTGTGTCAAAATCGCGTAAGTCACAGAGATTATGTATGTCTGATGTTAGTTCATCACTTTTCATCATCAATGGTGTTTCGAATTCAATGGTTGTGTGGGACCTTCACGAATTCACTCTTGCGGAACTTACGATGATTACACATGATTTCGCATCTAGTAGTTATCTCGGTGAAGGTGGGTTTGGAACGGTTCACAAGGGTTTTGTGGATGATGAACTTAGACCGGGTTTAGAGGCTCAACCGGTTGCAGTCAAGCTCTTGGATTTAGATGGTGGTCAAGCTCACAAAGAATGGCTGGTATGCATGAATAAATAAAATAATGAATAAAAGTATTTTATTTCATATTTTATGGGAAGTTGTTACTGATTTTGGGGTTTTTGTAATAAACTTATAGACTGAAGTGACGTTGTTGGGGCAATTGAGGCATCCAAATCTTGTGAGGTTGATTGGTTATTGTTGTGAAGAGAAGAATAGGCTTCTTGTTTATGAATATATGCCAAGGGGAAATTTAGAGAGTCAATTATTCACAAGTAATTTTCTTAATCTCTCGAGAGTTTAATTTTTTCACATGAGAAAAAGATAAAGACAGCCAAAACTCTTAATGTTTTTCAAAAAATAATTCAGAATTTGAAGAAAGGCTTATAGCCATATAGGTACTAGTTTTGGAGTTGAAAAGTGCTCAAAACGAAATGGTTTTGAGGATATTTTGCATTTTGTTTTGAACAATTTGCAGTGTCTTATCCGATTTTTAGTGAGTCTTGCTGTGAGCTATCCCTGTCTTCTTTCTATTTTGACATTTAAAAAACAGAATAAAACAAGATATATATCCCTAGAATGGAAACTTCGACCAATTAAGGGTAAGGGTAAGGAGCCCTAAACCACCAAATGAAAGTACATTTTTTTATGAGAATGGAATAAAAATACATCAGCCTTTCTAGGTGAAGTCAAATGTTGTTGTTTTAATTAAATAAGTCCGTTGTCAAATATATTGTAAACCATATACGTACTTTTAAATATAAATATGTACATAATATTTAATATTATCTAAAATTATATTTAAAGCGTATTTTTACAAATACATATGTTTATTTTCCTTAAAATACATTCTTTACATTTAAATATATGGTTTTTTAGTGTGTATATACACACACACACACACAAAAGACCATATGGGTCATAAAATGCAATACATAGCCGATGTGGCATGGCCTCAACGGCGTTAAGGGCCAACAAACCTCGCGCCCTGCTTCTCGATATGTTAAGCCTCGTTGCCTGCTCAACATGCCTCAACGTCATTTTCTTTCCTTATTCCTCTTTTCTTTCCTTTGCTTTTCTTGCCTCACGACGGTGTGCTCATGGGTGAATACCATCCCCACAACGGCGTTGAGGGTTCAATCCCGATGTGGCAGCATGGTTGCGGGGTACTTTACCCAGGAACCAAACATAAAGGTGTATAGTACTTATTGGTATTTGGTACGTGTATATATATATATATATATATATATATATATATATATATATATATATATATGTGTGTGTGTGTGTGTTAAGTTATCTTGAAATTTTAAACATTTTTGAGAACTCGTGAATTTTTAATACGCTTAACATATTTCAAAATAAAAACCACCAAGGGACTAGTGGAGCCATGTATAAGCCATATCTAGACTAAAAAAGATTTGAATAACATATTTTTTAAATGTTTGTATATGCACACTATTTTCTTCAAAACTTTTCAAAACAAAGAGAACAAAGAGAACAAAGAGATTCTAATATCAACGTTTAAGAAAATCATAATTTGAAAACGTCAAATAAACACAAAAAATTATAAATGTGCATGCATGTAGATGTTCTATATGCACATTAAAAAAAAAGTTCGTCAAATCTTTTTTTTTAAATCTGAATCTGGTTTAGATATAGATCTACAAGTCCAATGGTGGTATCGGTTTCAAAACATATTTGGCGGATTAAAAGTTCTTTGAGTTTTTGTAATTTTTAAGTTTAAAAACTCTCTCTCTCTGTGTGTGTGTCTATATATATATATATATATATATATATATATATATATATATATATATATATATATATATATATATAAAATAAATTATTCAAATAAATACCAAAATAAATGCAAAATTGCTATATTTATTTGTAAAAAGTTTTATTACTTTTGAAAAAAATTGTGTTATAATAATAAGATAAAACTTCAAAAATGGTCCTTGTGGTTTCACAAAATCTGAAGTTTGATCCATAATTTAGAAAAACCTTACGGATCGTTCCTGTGGTTTCAAAACTTTTAACATTTGGTCATTTTAACTCACTCCGTTACCATTTAACCATTAAGTAAAAGATATTTTTGTCATATCACTACCCAGGGACCATTTATGAGGTATTCTATTTTTTTTCAAAATTAATTAATTAATTAAATTTAATATGCAAGGTCTCTCTCTCTCTCTCTCTCTCTCTCTCTCTCTCTCTCTCTCTCTCTCTCTCTCTCTCTCTCTCTCTCTCTCTCTCTCTCTCTCTCCATTCTTTTTTTTCCTCCAAAAAATCCCCCACTTCCCTTTTATCTGATCACGTTTTTGAAAACCATGTCTCCAAAAGTTAATGAACTTTCTTTAATCGGGACACTCAGAGCCATTTGTTACCTTCTTTTAACTGTATAAGTATTATCACTTCGATCTAGCTCCATTCCTAAGAAACATCCGGATTCAGTTTGAATAAAGACTTGTCTTGTTCCTGTGAAATGTTTAATCCCTTCCATTTTAGTGTTTCCATGGTATTCTCTTCCTAAGGGAATGTTGAAAACAACGACTTTTAAAAAATGGACCTTTTCGTTATTTTATATTAAAATTCCATACATATGTGAAAATACATATAATATGCATCTATATTTAGAAAGGACGGAGTTATTAAAAAAAATACAATTATAGGCCTAGTGGTAATAATTTCAACTAGTATGGATGAATTTTTGGTTTGATTCTATATAAGTCCGTTTTTTCATTTTCTCTCTTAATTTTCAATGAATATATCATAGAATATATTTCGTTAGGAAGCTTCAAGTATAAAACTATTTTCTGGTTTAGTGACTATGGCGTTTTCTGTAAATTAAGTTAAAGATTCTATTCCGATATTAATATAATATACGCTAGTTTAGTAGCATCTATATAAACTACATAGACACAAGACTAACCATCCAACCAAACATGAGATTAATTTTAATTCCCAGAAAAAAAGAATACAACACATATTTAGTTCGCAGTTCTATCCAATGTGAATTATGAAAGTGGCAAGGACTCCAAAAATCCTATATACGTCTTTTATTTAGTTTTGAGTTTTTTTTTTTGAAAGAGTTTTAAGAGTTGATGTTATATTTTTCTTTTTCTCAAATTACTTAAAATATTAATCAAAACTTTCTTCTTTTTATAAATCCAGGGTATTCAAGTTCATTATCATGGTTAATCATGATTCAAATAGCACTTGGTACTGCAAAAGGTCTCACCTTTCTTCATTGCCAGGACAAACCTGTCATTTATCGCGACTTCAAAACTTCGAATATTTTATTGGCATCGGTATTTCTCTTTGTTTATATATATATATATATATATATATATATATATATATATATATATATATATATATATATATGGTTAGATATTATTTTCATCATTTATATTTTTCCAAAAAAATTAAAAAATAAAATAAAAAATACCATTTTTTTTATATATTCTAGTAGCATATTAAAATATTTTACATATAAAAAAATTATTGCTTTTTTATATTTTCTAGTAGAATATTATAATATTTTACATAACTGACAAATCTAATAGAATATTCTTATATTATAAAAATCATATTAGAATATTTACAGTGTAATATTTTATTAGAATATTTATCGTATTTAAAAAAAAAAAAACGGTAATTATTTTTTGTTTTTTTAGGTAAATAAAATGACGAAAATAATAATCAAAATTTTTTTTTTGGATTTTTCATTTTAGTTTGCATTTTAAAATTATTTTTATATTGCATATCATTGTCTCTCTCTCACACACACACACACACACACATATATATATATATATATATATTAACAGGATTATAATGCTAAACTATCGGATTTTGGGCTAGCGAAAGATGGACCTGAAGGTGATGTGACGCATGTGAGTACACGTGTCATGGGGACACACGGATATGCGGCGCCAGAGTATCTTATGACCGGCCATTTGACCACCATGAGCGACGTGTATAGTTTTGGCGTGGTTTTATTAGAGCTACTAACGGGCAAAAGATCGGTGGATAAAAAACGACCAAATCGAGAGCAGTGTTTGGTGATATGGGCAAGGCTGTTTTTGAAAAGTTCTAATAATCTTCATAGAATTATGGATTCTAAACTCGATGGTAATTTTCCAGTGGAAGGAGCAAAGAAGGCGGCAGCTTTGGCTAGTCGATGTCTGAGCCACCGCCCAAAATGTCGACCTACTATGACGGAAGTTGTCAAGACTTTGGAACATATATTGGAATTAGGTGATTTCCAAGTTGACTGGTTTGTGTATATTACTCATGAAGGAGAAAAAAGCGAACAGAAAGAGAAAAAGGAAGATAAGGGTGCTATTGGTGGCGGTAGTTCCGGTGTTGAGGAGAAGGTGGTGGTGGTTGTTAAAAAGGAAGATGATGAAATGTTTTAAAACCCGGGTCGACCCGGCCGGTTCAACCGGTTGGACTGTGACCCGGGGTAAAAGACGGGTCAATTGAGGCCGGTTTTTTGTAAAAATACGAACTAGATCGAACCGGCCGGGTTTCCCCCAAACCGCGGTTCGACCGCTTATGTTGAACCGGTTAAACCGGATTGACCCGTTTTAATAGAGTTTGGATAGTTGAATACAAGTAGTGAGCGTCAAAACAATGAGCCGTTTGCGGTTTCTTCAATGTTTTTCAATGTTTAAACTTTGTGGACATCAAATTATTGATTTTATATGTTTATGCATTATGCATGAAAGTAAAAATATATAGAAATAGAAAAAGATCATAAACCGGGTTGATCCGGCGGTTCAACCGGTTGACCCATGAACCGGTCACCACACCGGATCAACTAAAAACCCGGGTTTTAAAACATTGAGATGATGGATGTTACTAATTGAACCCCAAATAGTTGTTTTATGTGTATTAGTAGGGCCATATGTGAGTGTTGTCCATATAAATAATCACTCCTATACCCCCAACCCAAATAAAGCGTGGAATTGTTAAATTGTTAACTTTTTACTTTTAGGTAGTTTGTAAAGTCTTTATTTATTGTGTACCAATTAAAAAAACAGTTAATTTGTTCAAATGATGATATGTAACAATATACAAAAATAATAATAAGGCTGTGGAGAGTGGTCATAACCAATTCATCGAAAAAATGTTGTCATCTCTGCGCCACGTCAGTTTCACCATCAATCCACTAGACATTGGAAATGGTTATCCCTACAGAATATTTTTTTTGTAACATTATTTTAATAAAAAAATATGATTTATAACATAAATAAATTTTTTGAAAAAACAAAAAAAATAAAACCATATTTCATTAATTAAAAACATAGAAATTTAAAACATAAATTACTAAAATAAACATAAAACATAACAAATAAAACATTACACTACTAAAAAAAACATAAAAATTTAAAACATAAAAAGCATAGCCATTTTTTGTTGAATGTGTTTGTTTCTTTTGAAAGAGTTTTTGTGTTTGTTATGAAAAAGTGTATACAATATTTGTATATATATAGAGAAAGTTAATTAAAGTGAGTGATTTTATTTATTTATTTATAAATTTTTAATGGTCAAATGTGCCCACCTCCCAAAAACGTTCAAAAACAATTTCAACCAATCAAAGCCTTCGTTTCTTTCCATCTCCCCACCCATGCCACAGCTAGAGAAACGCCCATTGGGGTGGTGTTCACGTGTCTTAGGTTGTACCACCTCAGCTTCACGCGTCTTTTCCTTCCCCGTATCGGTCAACCTAAGTGTCATTTCTAACAGCAACAACATTTTAGGTCAATTGATAACCTTTTTTTCCCTCTCATTTTCTAGTATTTGTATCAAAGGTTAGAGTCAAAGTTTGATAACAATTCTTTTTATATTTTTTGGAAAAAATTGAAATACTACAATCAACTATTACTCGCATTTGATCCCTCGCCTACCAAGAACCTAATCCTAATCCTCTTTCCTCTCAAACATGAGAGTTTGACATGCAGACGAGTTGCGACAAGTGACATCCCTAGCCTTTGGTTGTTCTCGTTGATCGTAATGATCAATTCTTTCTTGAGCATTGCAACGACACTCGATATTATATCGAATAAGACCCACGAGACTTCTAAAGAAATCAACATACACAAATCATCATCGTGACCGGTCCATCTTGGCTACTAGAGCCGGATCGTGAATTGCTCTCTTCTTGCTTGGTTATTACTAACTGAAGGCACAAATAAACAATGATTATAACCATGTACAATGTAACGTCCCCAAAATATTGACATAAAATTTTGTTTATTTATAGAAAAAGAATCATTAATTACTTGTTTAAATAAAACTGATACATTATAATCAGAGTATAAATCCCAAAACAATTCAAATGTTGAACATAAAGTATGCGTGCCATGCAGTCAACTCGAGCTCTTCCTTTTGAAAACCGAAGTACCTGAAACATAAAATAAAAACTGTAAGCACAAAGTTTAGCGAGTTACCAGAGATACCACATACCACACATACATAAATCACATACTAGGCCCCCGTCCTTAATTGGGCCTCCACCAGTCTCGAGTCCCACTAGGCCTCGGGTCCCGCCGGACATCGAGCCCCGCTCAGATTACAGATATGTTATTCTCAGGCCTCGTCCACCAGACATATGAGTCATAAAACATATTGTCATGTATGGTTTGATGAGTGAAAGATACAAGCATATGAGTCAATGTTTATTCGTTTCTTTTACCCTAACGGGAAAAGCGATATCCGTGGGCCCCTTGATGATTTGGTGTTAACTTATGTGTTGGGCCCAGCCAGGACTAAATTGACGTGTTCAATTAGAAGTCCTATATCATCACAAATCAGAAAATGGGAAACATAGATTCTGGACAAAGAGATTGATTATATTCCATGTCTTATATCTAGGGATATCTAGTAGAACGAAGGGTCATGTGATCACTTATCTCAGGACACGTAACTGACTGGGTCAGAGTTCGGCAATGGCTTTTGGAAGCTACAATTTGTTGGTCAAACTTAGAAGTCATGCTAGAAATTATAGTAACAGACTTATCCAAGTGGGAGACTGTTGGATTAGGTGTCTAATCCCATAACTATAATTGGTATGTACTTGAATTAATAGCAATACAGTCTTTTTGGATTGCCCTCAAACCTAGCATCTAGACAAGGAAATTATGAAAGGAGAGATATTAATTTATTATAAGATTAATAAATTAATATAAATGATTTATTAATATGTTAAAAGATTAATATATTAATTAGAAATCATAATGTTTAATTAATAGTTAGCCAGAAATTAATTAGAATTAGTTTTGGGGTTAACTGTATTAATTGTAAAGTACATGGTCTAGTTTGCAATTATCAAATAATTGAGTAGAAGGTTCCAAAACCTCATTGGAAGGGGGTGGACAAAATATGTAGGGGAAAACCTAATGATTTCATCCAAGGGGCTTGGATAAGGCCTTTGGATAAGCTTAGGCCCCAAACAAAGGAGCATTAGGGTTTTCCCTTAACCCTAGATCCCTAAGCTATATAAGGAGCCTCCTGGCACCTAAAACCGGTCACTCCATCATTGAAGAAACCCTAGGGCCAATTTTTGCATACCCTAGCCTCTCTCCTTCAAGTTTCCTTCTTGCTAGCTTTTGGGTGTTACTCCATTAGAGGCATTACATTTGTGGTGCTAAGCTTCCAAGAAGATCAAGATCAAAAGGATTATCAATTGTTTGCTATAACAATTGAAAAAGGTATGTAACTCTTAAACCCTAATTGGTTGATTTTGAAAATAGCCTCTCTCCTTAGGGTTCTTGTTTTTCAATTCAAAGTTATATGTTCAATAGTTAAAAAAATAGATCCAAAGTAGGTTGCATGTGAACTTAGGAATTGTTTTTCTAGTTTATTTGTTTTACCTAAAACCCATCAGTGATCCCTGTAAGGGCACTGGGAAGGAATATGGCCAATACCGCATCTGTTACAGGTGCTATAAATGGTGTTTTGAGTGGATGCCCAAGAAAATTGGCTTGGATTACCGCCTATTTGTTTGTTGTAGTTTCCTCGGAGACGACAGTTGTTGGACTTGCGACCCCGACAGGAAGGAGGCCGGTTAGTATAGAAGGCATGAGGGGATAATGGGGAGACAGGTTAAGTTGAAGACTCAACTGAGAAGAAAGTTGTTATAGAGCTTGTATAGGATTAGTAGATGATGTGGTGGTGATAGAGGTGGAGCGATTGGCAACGGTGGCAACAAAATCTTGAGCAGGTGCAATAATGGGTGGGTTTTTCTTGACCGTAAATTCATGGTCAACAAGAAGACCAAGAAGTTATTGAAAGGAGGTGGGAGCTTGTCAAGCCAGTAGTGTTGATTTTAGGCTATTGTATTCCTCACGAAGACCAGAGATAACTAACATAACAAGGTCTTTTTCCTTGACTGGTTTGCCAATGTTTAGTAGAATATCTAAATATTCTTGAGCGTGTAGGAGGTCAACAGAGGCGGTTTCATCAGATTTCATCTTAATCTTGAGAAATTTGGTTTTAAGGGTGTATTCTCTAGAAGAAGGTTGAGGAGAATAGGCTCTCTATAGCGAGAGCGAAAGGTCCTTTGAGGTTGTGCCATGGGCATGGGGGTAAGATGTTTCGAAGATGGTAGATAGAAGGAGCATGCAAACATGGGCATCATTAGCTATCCAAGTTGTGTATGAAGGTTTCGACTGATGTTGTACTGTGGTGGCTTTCTCTGTTGTTTGTATACTAGGGTTGGGACATGGAATGGTTCCATTAATATAGCTAAAAAGATTATTGGTAACAAGAAAAGGCTCTATCATTGTTTTCTAAAAACCATAATTAGTAGAAGAGAGAGTAAAAAGAAACTTATGAGGAATGTGTGATGTTTTCTCAGTTGTGGAGAAGATGGTGATGGTGGCCATTAAGATCGATTTCTTGTTGAGGATTGATTTGATGTTGGTGATGATCGATTTGTGTTAATTTGTAACTGTGATTTAATTTGTAATTGTGATGAAGAATCGGCAGGGGTAGGGTTATAACCCTAGAGGAGTCGTATGTTTCTCCTGCTCTGATACCAAATAAGACTTGTAATTGTAAATGTATTGAGATTAATTATTAATGTGTATGTACAGAGAGTAATACACACACACACACACACTCGAAACCCTACACTATTATTATCTATCTAATAATAAGGAACACGAAAAATAATGTAATTTGGACTTAGTGGTTGCATACTTCGTTATGTTTATTTTTTATAAGTTAGTGTTTTTTTTATGTTTGTTACTTGCTAGCTTTTTAATACAATAAAGTTAAAAAAAAAATGGCTGCTACAATAAACAAAAAACATGACCACACTTTTGCTATCAAAACCAATGTTTACAAGAATCGGTTTTGCAGTCATTTTATCATTAATCCTAATGATGGGATACTTATAGAAAAGGGTAAA